ACATTACAGAAATCTTAACAAGACAACCAAACATGTGGCCAAACCGTGACCGATACAACAAGTTAACAATGTAAGAAACAGGAGGGGGCCAAACCGTGGCCAATAAATAAACAGTCCACCTCATTGATGAGATGGACAACACGTGTCAAATAAATATTTTAAAAAAATTGCTATTCCATCGGTCTGGAACTGGTCGACTATAAATAATTAAAAAGTTTAAATTCATGTGACAGTCGTCCAGCGACGTATAAATAATTTAAAAACCCCAATTCATGAGGGGCCCCGACCTGCAGAGTATAAGTCATTAAAAATGTGCAAAACGTGAGTCGGCCGACCAGCAGCCTCTCAATAAAATATATATACAAATGTACGGATCAGGTGGAGGTCTTCCATTTGTCCCTAATAACATGTTTGGGGCATGATTCATGGCGGATTTAGTCAGTTGTGTCAGGAACTGGTGGTTTGAAATCCAGACTAATCCACGCCTGATTCATTTTCACAAACGTGAGTCTCTCCACACTTTGGGTGGACAGTCGTCGTGTCCTCCGCGGAGTTACAATACCTCCTGCCGCACTAAACACGCGCTCCGATGCCACGCTACTGGCCGGGCATGACAGCCTTTCAAGGGCAAATTCAGCTAGTTGGGGCCAAAGGTCAAGTTTCGTTGCCCAGTAGTCAAGGGGATTGTCTACCTCGGTTGGCAGGGTGCTGTCCAAGTAGGCCCAAGCCTGTTGTTTGAGGTCCTGCTCCAGGTCCACCTGATGCTGCTGCTGCTGTGGCTGGTTAGTAGTTTCCTCACTGCGCTGGTGAAGAAAGCTACTCATCATCGACTGCAGACTGAGGCAGCCGCTGCTGGTGGAGCTGCCACTGCTCCTACCACCCCACCCCTCCCCTGCTGCCATGGCAGCGGAATGCGAGCGCACAGGGCCCACAGTGTCTGAGGATGGACGTTGGCGCACAAAGGCAGAGACCAACTGACTACATAGGTGGTTTTTATAGTACTTTATTTTGGCCTCCCTCTCAGCAGGTGTGAAAAAGGCCACCATTTTTGAACGGTAGCGAGGGTCCAACAAGGTGGACAGCCAAAAGTCATCCCTCTGTCTGATGGTTATTATTCGGCTGTCGCTACGCAAGCAACCGAGCATGCTATGGGCCATTTGTGCCAAGGAATGCGAGGGACTCCCTGCCTCCATCTCCACAGCATACTGCCCACGGTGCGTCTGGGTCCTCTGTCTCCTCCTCCTCTACCAGATGCTCCTGCTCCTCCACTCCTGTCCGCTGAGTGGGAAAAACCACCCATTTCACTCAATAATTCCTGAGCACCCAATGTCCTCCTCTACCTCCTCCTCTTCTTCCTGTCCTGCCCCCACAGGGGGTCATGTGGCGTTGAGATCTGTGCGCCACGTCTACCGCACCCTGACCAGCCATTGTTAACAGCATTTGTTCCAGGACGTGCAACAGAGGAATGACGTCGTTCCATCCCATAGTCCTGCCGACTCACGAATAGCGTGGCCTCCTCAAAGGGCCTGAGCAAGCGGCAGGTGTCACGCATGAGCTGCCAATGGCTGACATCTAAGTTACACAGGGGAGTACCTTTATCCGCTTGTAACATCAGGAAATCGGTGATGGCCTTTCGCTGTTCGTAAAGGCGGTCTTTCTAACATATGTAGGGTTGAATTCCACCTTGTTGCAACGTCGCAGATCAGGCGATGCTGTGGAATTCCGTTCTGCCGCTGCAGCTCAAGGAGGGTGTGCTTTGCGGTGTAGGAATGGCTGAAATGCATGCAAAGTTTACGTGACATTTTAAGGATGTCTTGCAGTGGGATGGTGGATTTTAGGAACCGCTTGACAACCAGATTGAACATGTGAGCCATGCATGGCGCATGGCACAACCTTCCTTGACGCAGAGCAGACACCATGTTCTTTCCGTTGTCGGTCAACATGGTTCCGATTTTCAGTTTGCGCGGAGACAGCCATCTGTCGATTTCTCTGTTCTACACTCAGTTCCCCTGTGTGACTACGTTCGCCAAGGCATACCAGGTGCAGCACAGCGTGACACCGTTGCTCCCTGCACATGTGATATGCCGGTCGGGTAATGGGACTTGGCACGGGGGGTGGCGGCTGAGGACACGGCGGAAGAAGAGGTGGTAGAGGCGGACATCTTTGCTGGACCAAGGACGTGCAAAACGTGGAGGCAAAAAGCGGCGTGACCTGTCCAAGTTGCTGGTGCGGCTGTGCCGGCACCACGTTCACCCAGTGGGCCGTAAATGACATGTACTGTCCCTGACCGTAGTCACAGCTCCACACGTCGGCGCTGCCGTGCACTTTGGCAGAGACCGACATGCTCAAAGACTGGCCACCATCTCTTCTACATGTGAATGCAGGGCTGGCACTGCCTTTTTGGCGAAGAAATGCCGGCTTGGCACTCTCCACCGCGGCTCGGCACAAGCCATCATTTCTCGGAAAGGTGCTGAGTCCACCACTTGGAAAGGGAGGGACTGCAGCACCAGCAACTTGGACAGGAGGACGTTCAGCTTCTGCACCGTCGGGTGCGTGCTCGCAAACTGTTGTCTCTTGGAAACGGATTCCAAGAAAGACTGCTGACGGAATCCGTGAAGAGGAGTAGCAGGAGAAGGAGCATCTGAACGAGCGGAAGATGCCAACGAGCGACAACTCCCCTCAGCAGAGGTGTTGGAGCCTTGACTGGCTGATAGAGGGCGATTGACGTCGGGTGACGGAGCAAGTAACGGAGCGGGTGATGGAGCGGGGGCTGGGGCAGGCAGAACCGCCGTATCTTTATCACGGTTTTTCCAGGCCACCGAATGGCGACGCTGCATATGCTGACGCAACGCTGTAGTCCCACAACATTGGCCCCCTGGCCACGCTTGACTTTCTGGCCACATAGTCGACATACGGCTACGTTTACTTCCTCGGGCGGCTTGACGAAAAATTGCCACACCGCCGAGTAGGAAACTTTGCCCCCGCTACTCCTCACTGGCTGACTGCTACTTCCTCCGTGCACACCGGCACCACTACTGGCCATGGTGGTAGGCTGCAGTGGAGCTGGTGCTCTACTCCGTGGCCGTTTGGCTCCACTGACACTGCTGCGACCCTGCTGCCTCCTGGGCAACCCACCGACTGTTTTTGCTCGCTGGCAAGCTCGCACCCTCTTCTCCTGATGATGCGGAAGCAATAGCCTGATGACGACGAGGCTGCCAAGTGCGATCAGCCTCATCATCATCAATTAGGGTCTCCGCGTCACTACTAGCCCCCTCGGCTGCGTGTGGGTCAGGAGACAGACCTGTCTCTAGACCGGCTACCGAGCCACTCTCCTCGCCAGTACTTCTTCGCCTGGCTGCTGAAGAGGCGGATGTCTCCCCCCGTTCCTGACCACCCTCTGTTAGCTCTTCCTCACTGTACAGTGGGGCTGAGCCCACAGCATGTGATACTTCGCTTGGTGAGGGAACACCAAAGGACAGGGGCAGGTCGAGGACACGTGATTTCAGTGGGCTTGCTCCCGGGCCATGCCAACTAACGGTTGTGTCTGACGTACCCACCGACCGTTGGCTGTAGGTGTCAGAGGTGACCTGGGAAGAGGAAGACGACCGAGTCAACAAATCGATGACGGCAGGGTTGTCGGTGGAGACACGACCGCTGGATGACACCGGGAGCACTGGCCTCTGGCTGCGACTAGTGCTGCCTCGACCCCTTCCTCTGCTGCCACGTCTGCTTGCTCCTGAAACATTGCCTCCTCTGCCACTCCTCTGCGTGTTGTCTGACATACTCTTTAATTCAATAAGCACCCCAAAAATAAAACCGGATTTAAACTCTTTGAACGTACATAGTGGTTGTGAAGCAGAAAGTCAGTTTATTTAGCACAATCGGTCAATTGCAGCTTGCCGTTGGCTGTAAACTGTACGTTTCTGTCACTGGAATGCACTAATCACCCAAAAAATATTTACCGCCACCCGGCGTGTAAATGGATTTAACTCTTTGAACGTACAATAGTGGTTGTGAAGCAGAAAGTCAGTTTATTGTACACAATCGGTCAATTGCAGCTTGCCGTTGGCTGGAAACTGTACGTTTGTGTCACTGGAATGCACTAATCACCCGAAAAATATTACCGCCAGCCGGCGTGTAAATGGATTTAACTCTTTGAACGTACAATAGTGGTTGTGAAGCAGAAAGTCAGTTTATTTTGCACAATCAGCAAACTGCAGCACCAAACTGTGCGACAGCCACCAAAAAAAAAAAAGGGTGTATGTCACTTTAAATTTTCGATTCTTTGATAGCTGTGGCCCTAAGTAACGATTTCTGTGTCCCTGAGTAACGATTCTGTGTCCCTGAGTAACGATTCTGTGTCCCTGAGTAACGATTCTGTGTCCCTAAAGTCTCTGTGGCCCTAACTCTGTCCCTTAATACACACAGGTCTGTCTCTCTTGAATGACCGGAGGCTAATGGAGAATTCTAAGATGGCCGCGATTTATAGCTCCACCATTACACAGTGCTGGCTGGCTGCTGATTGGCTAATGCGATCACATGTCATGAATGCATTATGGGTCAGCGCGCCTTGTCTGCGCGCCTTCCCAGAGATCCCCCCGCCCCATCTTCTCTGTCCATTTTCTCCGTCGCCACACATGTCGCCGCCATTTTTGGGAAAATTTGATTCGTGCATCCGAATTTGCTAATCTTCGGATTCGTCGCGAATAGAATTTTTCCAAATCTTCGGAACGAATTCCACTTCGTCATGTTCGATTTGCTCATCTCTAATAAAAGACTTTAGTTCTATTTTAATTGCTTTCGTACCCTATGTGAATTAAGCACACTTGTACAAAGAGGCTTTATCTACTGGGTTGATCAATTCTGTCTCATTGGGATGTTTAACTTCACTTTTATTTCAGTAGGGTATACAAATCATTATGTCAAAATCTATCAACTTATTGCATCCCCCGTCCGCTGTACATATAACACAGACATGGAATGCGTGCTTTTATTCTCACCAGATCAGCAACTTTACACAGCTCATCACTTAGCTGGTCAAACAGCTTCACAGTCTCAGCACTTGGAGGAGCAGCGCACACTTTCTCCACAAGAGACTCCGACTTTCTCAGGGCATTATCTTGAACTATCTGGAATCCTTCTGGAGAACTTAATTCGGGAACTCCAAACAGGCCCTGTGGTAGACAAAATACAAATAAAATAAAATACTGTTAAAGCTGGCTTTGCATAAGGATCACAGCTACAAATTTTATAAATAACATCCATAATAGATGCTAGTGTCAGACTTGCTTCTTGGTGCATTCTGAACACAGAAGGTAGGCTGCTCAACACGGGCACCATTCAGAGAATGCTTTGCATGTTCTGAATGAATGCAAATCATTATCTGATTGGATATGGTGGAGAGCCTGCCATCACCACCTCTCGACCTCGTCCAATCAGAGAATGATGAGCAATTCCAAAAATGCAATGCAATCTATCATTGGCACCCATTCCAAGCAGCTGGCCTCCTGTGCTCAGGATACAGCAGGATAGCAGCTCAGCATGGGACCCAGAAGCAAGTGGAGACCACTGAACTAGTGTTTACTACAGTGATTGCTAGCTTCCAAGGGTATTGGCCAGGTATAGTATATACAGTATGTCACAGAAGTGAGTACACCCCTCACATTTTTATAAATATTTCATTATGCCTTTTCATGTGATACCACTGAAGAAATGACACTTTGCTACAATGTAAAGTAGTGAGTGTACAGCTTGTATAACAGTGTAAATTTGATGTCCCCTCAAAATAACTCAACACACAGCTATTAATGTCTAAACCACTGGCAACAAACGTGAATACACCCCTAAGTGAAAATGTCCAAATTGGGACCAATTAGCCATTTTCCCTCCCCAGTGTCATGTGACTCGTTAGTGTTCCAAGGTCTCAGGTGTGAATGGGGAGCAGGTGTGTTAAATTTGGTGTTATCGTTCTCAATCTCTCATACTGCTCACTGGAAATTCAACATGGCACCTTGTAACATAAGGCCGGGCACAAACACCAAAAGCAAATCACATACAATACACGGGTTCGGCCAACCAGCCTTATAACATTGTTTCTAAGCATGTGAGAGACACACTACCAAGTGTAAAGCTGCCCTGGCACATCATGCCGCATTCACTCAGCACCCCAAGAAATAACAGAATCCAACTGCATTGTTCTTGCACTGTAAAAACCTCCTCCACTTTTATTATCACACAACACACAGGAGGTATATATCTTATGGTCATCACAATCTGCATAATAGCACACACTAAATAGTAATGTGAGTATCACAGCATGAAATAAACACATCTTTTTCACAGCACAGAATTAATACCTTACCAAAACTATGGGAAGACGAGAAGAAGAAGACCTTCATCAAGACCATAGTGCTCAGGAGACCGTGGAGAAGCCAAGGTCAAGATCGAGACCGATGAGTCCATGCAGCCTTGGCAAGAATCCCAGCGTCAGTGTGTCCCCTTTCGCATGGGAGGGCTTCAGGCCTCTCTTAAATACCTTGGTTCGGCACAATCTGGCAACTATCCTAAAATGGGCGGGCGCCTGGCTCATTCCAGGAAGTGCCAGCAGAAACGAAAAGTCCAATGAGGTAACAAGAGTCACACCCAGTCACTTTGATGGACAAACAACTTCTTATCTTATACCCCCAATCCTAATGTAACAAACCAGTAAACATTTCTAACTACACAAACAACGTCTTATCTTTTCTTAAGTTTTATCTACTTTAAGCAGTTCTGTCTTGTGACTCTAAGTTTCCCTTAGCCTAGAAAATGACATCAATGTCATTCCTCGTGCTTCTGGCATATGGGCAGCAATGCTTTGTTGTAAAAATGCCCCAAAAAACAAAGGGCCTAAGGCCAACACATTTCATAGGCATTACACACCTCATGGCAAAGAACTCTCTGAGGATCTTTAAAAAAAAGAATTGTTGCTCTACATAAAGATGGCCTAGGCTATATGAAGATTGCCAAGACCCTGAAACTGAGCTGCAGCATGGTGGCCAGGACCATACAGCAGTTTAATAGGACAGGTTCCACTCAGAATAGGCCACGCCATGGTCAACCAAAAAAGTTGAGTGCATGTGCTCAGCGTCATATCCCAAAGGTTGTCTTTGGGAAATAGATGTATGAGTGCTACCAGCATTGCTGCAGAGGTTGAAGGGGTGGGGGGGGGGGGGGAGGGGGGTCAGCCTGTCAGTGCTCAGACCATACGCCACATACTGCATCAAATTGGTCTGCATGGCTGTCATCCCAGAAGGAAGCCTCTTCTAAAGATGATGCACAAGAAAGCACGTAAACAGTTTGCTGAAGACAAGCAGACTAAGGACATGGATTACTGGAAATATGTCCTGTTGTCTGAGGAGACCAAGATAAACTTATTTGGTTCAGATGGTAGCATGTGTGGCTGCAACTAGGTGAGGAGTACAAAGACAAGTGTGTCTTGCCTACAGTTAAGCATGGTGGTGGGAGTGTCATGGTCTGCATGAGAGCTGCCGGCACTGGGGAGCTACAGTTCATTGAGGGAACCACAAATGCCAACATATACTGTGACATACTGAAGCAGAGCATAATCCCCTTCCTTCGGAGACTGGGCTGCAGGGCAGTATTTCAACATAATGACCCCAAACACACCTCCAAGACAACCACTGCCTTGCTAAAGAAGCTGAGGGTAAAGGTGATGGACTGGCCAAGCATGTCTCCAGACCTAAACCCTATTGAGCATCTGTGGGACATCCTCAAATGGAAGGTGGAGGAGTGCAAGGTCTCTAACATCCATCAGCTCCATGATGTTGTCATGGAGGAGTGGAAGAGGACTCCAGTTGCAACCTGTGAAGCTCTGGTGAACTCCATGCCCAAGAGGGTTAAGTCAGTGCTGGAAAATAATGGTGGCCACACAATTATTGACACTTTGGGCCCAATTTGGACATTTTCACTTAGAGGTGTACTCACTTTTGTTGCCAGCGGTTTAGACATTAATGGCTGAGTGTTGAGTTATTTTGAGGGGACAGCAAATTTACACTGTTATACAAGCTGTACACTCACTACTTTACATTATCGCAAAGTATCATTTCTTCAGTGTTCTCACATAAAAAAGATATAATAAAATATTTACACAAATGTTAGGGGTGTACTCACTTCTGTGAGATACTGTACATAGTTATGTTGGTTCAAGGTGGAACAATGAAACTATATATAAAATATCCATACCTGGAATTCATCTTTAAGCCCTGCAGCATTGGAAGATTGCAACTGTGGGGGTATGCAGACGGTATAAAGACTTCATATTTCAAATATGACAGCCGGCACCAACACAAGAGACACTTCTCATTAAATGTAAATCCTGTATAATAAATGTAATTACTGTTCCTGTGCTGATTTTTTTTTTTTATTTTTTTTTTTAAATCTACCTAAACATAGGCTTCAAGTGTTAATATGTATATGTCACTTTAGGTATGTGTGTGGTCACTGCAATATTTTCACTTTTATTCAGACCCGCATAACACAGGCCACGCAATATTTCCTGAGCTGTGACAGGAGAGCTACAGCTATCATACACTGAAGCAGCATTCTTTGCCTGCTCCTCTTGCCCAGTCACAGGAAGCTTTGTTTATATGAACCCATTCACAGAATACAAGGCCTTCCATGAATGGACAAGGGGAGAGAGGGGCAGTATACAACACTGCAGCCATCAGAGCTGCTCTCCCTGTAATTCCTTTGAATGAAAGTAAAAATATGACAGTAATGTCACATATGCTTAAAGTAACATACACATCCTAACAATTTATATTTACACTACAGATTTAAAAAAATAAAAAACCTCGGGTGCTTTGCTTAAAATACTCTAAATTATTCTTTAATCACAAGCATTGCTAAGTAGGGCCAGGAGGCCTGATTCTGGAGGGTCTGTTTATAAAAAAATAAGCATAGCTATTCACCTAGTGAAACTGGCATGTTCAGTGTGAATGGAACAAAAATGGAATGGTCTCAGACTATTCCCTCTACAGGTTGAATGTTTCCCCCCCCCTCATGAAAAAATTAGTGGTTCAGAAAACTACAAAATGGAGCAGATAATCATAGTACTCAAGTATTAAAGGATATGTTCACTGTTTCATGTTCTACATGGAAAGTGTCCATTGCAAATTGACGCATTAGATGAATTTATCTCTCTAGTACATCAGCTCGTATGCCCCTACCATTAACTGGATTCAGCTTTCAGATTTATGTAGGCATTTAGTGAATTGGAGAAGCTACCAATTTCTATGAATAGTCAGGTTTTGTGATTGCTTATAACTTACAATGTATATATTTTTTTTTTATGCAGGGCCCATTCACACCATTGTGCTGTGGTCACTCACATCATGGGTGTTTCACTCACCCATGGGAATATAATATAAATGCAGCAAATAGGTTCACAGGTCCACTGTGGTGTGTTAAACAGACTATTAAAATGAAAACCACATGTGTGAGCACACTGCAACACACTGCCCGAGTAATAACGGATCCTTAAAGCAGAACTTAAGTCTGCATGGAGGTGAATGTGCAGTTGGGTGATATGCAGGTCAGCAGCAGGGGATATGAGTCAGTATTGGAGGGTGCATAGAAGTGGGTCAACACTAGAGGGAACACTGCCACGTAGGTAAGCTCTGGGGTTTCAGGTCACGGCCAGAGGACTTGGGTCAGTGCTGGGAGATATGAGGAAACAGATCACTACTAGGAAACGGGGCCATGGGTTACAGCAGAGGGGTGCTGGGAGAGACAGGTCAGCCAAGGGCACATGGGAAAGTGATTCAGTACCAAGAGACAAGGGTCAGTGTCAGCAGATGTGCAAAGGCAGGCAGGTCAGTGCAAGAAGGTATGGCAAGGTGGGTTAGAGCAGGGGGAGAAATCAGCACTGAGAGATGTGGATTAGTGCTGGGTGATGAGGGTCAGTGTCGAAACAAGGGTCAGAGCAGGCAGACATAGGTCAGCGCTGGGAGACAAAGTAGGTTGTGGGAGACGTGAGTCAAGAGAAGAGTCAGTGCTGGGAGATTTGGAGATGAAGGTCAAAGCAGGGGGTCAAAGGCAAGCACCAGAAGATGAGGGTCATCATAGGAAAACATGGGTCGGCAGAAGAGAGCCAGGGGGGGTCAGGAGAAGAGAGTCGATGCCAGTAGACAACAGGAGAAAAGACGGAGAGAGTGTTGGGCCAACAGACATGGGTCAAGGGGGACAGTGTTGGTGCCAACAGACATGGGTCGAGAGAGAGATCGTTTCGGTGGCAACAGACATGGGTCGAGGGGGGGGGGGGGGGGGGGGGACGACAGCGTCGGTGCCAACAGACACGGGTCGAGGGGGGGGGGGGGGGGGGGGGACAGCGTTGGTGCCAACAGACATGGGTCAAGGGGGGGACAGCGTCGGTGCCAACAGACATGGGTCGAGAGAAAGAGTCTGTGCCAACAGATATGGGTCTGGAGAGGGAGAGTCTATGCCAGTTGACGGGTCGGGAGAGAAAGTCAGTGCTGGAAGATGAGGGGCAGTGCCAGGAGATTTGGCGATGAGGGTCAGAACAGATGTGGGATGAGTTGCAGGGCTAGGAGATGAAGGCATGTGCTTTTGGTGCTGGCAGACATGGGTCAAGAGAAGATAGTCAGTACTGTAAGATTTGGGGACAAGGGTCAGAACAGGGGGCGGGTCAGCACCAGGAGACATGGGTCAGAGCAGGAGGAATAACAGGTCAGTGTTGGGAGATTTGGAGATGAGGGTCAGAGCAGGGGTTCACAGGTCAGTGTCGGGAGATTTGGAGATGAGGGTCAGAGCATGGGGGGGTCACAGGTCAGTGTCGGGAGATTTGGAGATGAGGGTCAGAGCATGGGGGGTCACAGGTCAGTGTCGGGAGATTTGGAGATGAGGGTCAGAGCAGGGGGTCACAGGTCAGTGTCGGGAGATTTGGAGATGAGGGTCAGAGCAGGGGGGGGTCACAGGTCGGTGTCGGGAGACAAGGGTTTAGGTTGGTTATGGTCAAGGCAGGAGGTCAGCACCAGGAAATGAGGGTAAATGTGGGTAGATAAGAGTCGGAGTGGGGGAGGGATCACAGGCTGCGTCACGAGAAAGGGGGCGGAGCAGGGAGTCACAGGTCAGCACCGGGCACAGCTCGCACCCCACGAGGCCGCCTCTCACCGTCGTCTTCCCGAACACATCTAGCCTCCACTGTTGTTTCACATTGAAAGCAGCACCGACAGGAGCCCAGCCGGTACTGACACAGCGATGCCCTGATCCCCCCCGGACCTTCCGGGACAGGCTATAGAGGAGGGGCCGCAGAGCAAGCATGCTGCTGGCTGACACCCGGCACTGAGTGACCCCACCAGAGGGGAGGAGGAACCGCGGTCATGTGGCCGGGGTGAACACTGACGTCATGGCACCATGTGATCTCCGGAGAGAACGCGGGAATGACGAATGTGTGGACAGGGCGGACACGTGGGATGTCGGGTGGTGCAGGCAGTAGACAGGCCGTGTGGTAATAGCGGTGGTGCTAGGAGATGTGTCACCTGCAGGACGAGTACCTATCACCAGTACACTTACCTCCCGACCATAGAGGAGAACACACCCGACTTCATGTACCATGAGGAATACATGCACAGCATGACTGATCACATGACCTGTTTGTTTTCTCTTTCACTGATCGATCATTATCAGGGTTCGTTCCTATAATGTAAGGGTTGGATAGAATGTTTAACCACTCGCTGTCCAGGACAATTCTGAGTTTCTCACATACATGTTAAAATCAGTGTTTTCTTTTTTAGCTACTTAGAAGTATATATTTTGTGAAAGCAGAGGCCCTGAAGATTAAAATGGTGACTGCAGTTATTTATCAAATGCATTTTTTTTTCCAGAAAAAATACACTAGAAGACATTTTGGTGCACCCAAACACAGTATAATACCCATTTTTATGGTAGAATATAAAATGTGTTGAGTAAATAGATATCAAACACGTCAAGATTTAACCACTTGCCCTCCAGAGGATTTACCCCCCTTCTGACCAGGCCATGTTTTGCGTTATGGCACTGTGTTACTTTAACTGCCAATTGCGCAGTCATGCAACACTGCACCCAGATGAAATGTACATCCTTTTTTTTCCCACAAATTGAGTTTTCTTTCGATGGTATTTGATCGCCCGTGTGTTTTTTATTTTTTGCGCTATAAGCAAAAAAAGACCGTCAATTTTGAGAAAAAAACAATATTTTGGACTTTTTGCTATTAAATATGTCCAGTAAAAAAAAACAAATTTCATCATAAATTTAGGTCAAAATGTATTCTGCGACATGTCTTAGCAAAAAAAAAAAAAAATCCCAATACGTGTAAATAAATTGGTTTACATGAAAGTTACAGCGTCTACAAATGGTGGTATATATACTGGGATTTTCTTTTTTTCCCTACTAATAATGGCATCGATCAGTGACTTTTAGCGGGACTGCGGCGGGCATTCTGACACTGGGGGGAACTAACTTAGTGACACCACTACAGTGATCAGTGCTAAAAAGAAAAAAAAAAAAAAAGCACGGACACTGTACTAATGGCACTGGGCAGGAAGGGGTTAATGTGAGAGGCGATCAAAGGGTTAATGTCAGGGCTCCAGGGTGTGACCAGAGGTATGTGAACTGACACAGGGAAACGCAGGCTTCAGATATGTTATAAACAATATAATTTATTAACACTAACAATACATAAACGCAGTGCAATACTAAAACATAACACAGTGCAAACGAACCAAACCAACCACCCACAGATAACAATACATACAATGCAAGCGTCGTCAGGCAGGCCGGGTCAATAACAATCGGGCAGGTAGGAACAGGAGGAGCAGGCAGAGAGTAGTCAGGTCACGAGCCGGGTACAGCAACTAATGGGCAGGTAGGTACAGGGGGTCAGGCAGAGAATAGTCAGGGTCACAAGCCAGGGATCAAACAGGAGAAGTCAGCAGAGGTCCGGATCAGGCAGGGTCAGCAACGAATCAGTCAGACAGGAACAGGAATGCAGGTAACAAGATACAGGGGCCCAGGAAAACCACACACCAAGGCCCAGACTGCAGGTCTGGCCATCCCTTAAATACACCTGCATAATCAGCTTCAGGTGTTTGGCTGGCTGCAGGGTTGAGTCTCTGATTGCTGAGAGCACCCGCTGGCCAGCCCTGGTACTGCAGCCCACAAGGCAGGTGAGTCCCACCATTACTGGCAAGTCCATTCCTGACAGTTAACTGTGTAGGGAGTGTTTTACTAGGGGGTGGTGGTTGTGTGCTTTACTGAAAGGACACTGATGGGGATGGCTGTGACGGAGCTGACAGGGAGGAAGACTGCAAAAAAAAAAACAGTCTTCCCATCGTCGGTGATTGTCGGTAATCACCGGGTGCTGGCAGGTAATCACCGGCTGGGACCTGGTAATTGACATCCGCAGCCGCAAATGGTGGCGCGGGTAGGGTGGCACATGCCCCCTACCCGGAAATGCAAAATCAGGTGTCAGTATATCTGCTACTCGGTGGCGGGTAAGCGGTTAAAAATTGCGTGCACCTGTGAAATGGCGACAAACTACGACGATACCTTAAATTGTTCAAAGGTGATGCCTAAAGCAGAACTCCAGGCAAAAACTTCTTTACATAGTTTTATTGCTTCTTTCCTACCTTCCTAGAATATGAAGTCCGTCTTCTAGTTGACTTTGTAGTTTCTGAGAAACAGCATGTGGATTTTGTAAATCCTGGGATTAATCCCCTGTGTCTTCCTGCTTGTAAGACCAATGTCGGCTATGCCTTGCATTCCCCCAGCCACTGCTCTTGGCACATCCCTCCTGTAGTTCTCATGTCAGGGAGCGGTGATGCGATTCCTGCTGGCTGTAGTGGGTGGACCAATCTGAGACTCCCGGTCTGAACTGCCCACAGAGGCAGTATGTTCCTCCTCCTATCTAATAGTAACAGCTGTCAGCAAGCCTGAAGCTGAAAGCGTTTAAAGCAGTAGTCTGAAAACAATGTAGCCTGATAACAATGCCCTCTGGCAGAGCGCTGTCACGGTTTCCCCAAGTTTTTGGCCATGGCTCTCTCAAAGGACGACACGCCGTCCATTGAGAGCGCATGCGCTAGTGACAGTAAATAAACGGTGCGTGTTTAGGAGATATTTACAGTACCTACAGGTAATTATTATTAAAGGTTTGCCTATAGGTAAAGATACAAAATTGGGTGTACTTCCACTTTACCTCCATACGTGCCTGACAACAACATGGGCAAGCTGGGGTCAAGAATTTCATTGGGGATTCAGAAGGCACATTGACAGCTCAGCAGGGAAACACACTTCAGTCATCACTATCAACTGTGGGACACAGAGAGAGAGAAGGGAATATAATGGCCTCTCTGTATAAGTAGAGGAGAACAGAGATGGAGCTGAGCTGCTACACGGATGGAACCCATAGCTGCCAGGGAGGGAGCTGAGCCTGTGGCAAACAGTTAACCCCTCACTTTCCAGACACCTTTACATTGTACTACTAAAAGCACCCAATGATTAACAGTGTGGCTATTGAGGGGTTAACTGTTAGCCACAGGCTCAGCATCCTCCCTGGCAGCAATAAGGCGATGGAACATGTGTGCAGAGAGAGTACAGTGGGGGAACGTTCCTGATCATGTTACCCCACTGAAGGGAAATTTCCGGTTTCTGTGACCCCCACTGGAGGGAGACTTCCTCTCACTTCCTGTCCCTGTGACATCACTGGAGGAAGGCTTCCTGTTTCTCTGACACCACTGGAGGAAGTTTTCCCCTCACTTCTTAACCATGTGACCCCGCTGAAAGGAGACTTCCTGTTTCTGTGACACCACTAGAGGGAGACTTCCCCTCACTTCCTGGCCCTGTGACCCCACAGGAGAGAGACCTCCTATTTCTGTGACCCCACTGGTGGGAAACTTCCCCTCACTTCCTGACCCTGTAACCCCACTGGAGGGACACTTTCCCTCACTTCCGGTCCCTGTGACACCACTAGAGGGAGAAATTCCCTCACTTCCTGTCCCTGTGACCCAACTGGAGAGAGACTTCCTGTTTCTGTGACCCCGCTGGATGGAGACTCCCTGTTTCTGTGACATCACTGGAGGGAGTCTTCCCAAAAAATAATTCCCTGTGACTCCACTTGAGGAAGACTTCCTGTTTCTGTGACCCCACTGGAGGGAGACATCCTGTTTTATGAGACCACAGTAGAGGGAGACTTCCGGTTTCTCTGACCCCACTGGAGGGAGACTTCCTGTTTCTCTGACCCCACTGAAGGGAGACTTCTTGTTTCTGTGACCCCGATGGAAGGAGACTTCCTGTTTCTGTAACCCCCCCCCCCCCCCACCCCCCCTGGAAGGAGACTGTTCCTGTTTCTGTGACACCGCTGGAGGGAGACCCCCTCATTTCCTGTCCCTGTGACCCAACTGGAGGGAGACTTCCTGTCTCTGATACATCACTGGAGAGAGTCTTCCCAAAAATTCCTTTCCCTGTGACCCCATTTGAGGAAGACTTCCTGTTTCTGTGACCCTACTGGAGTTAGACATCCTGTTTCTGTGACTGCACTGAAGAGATACTTCCTGTTTCTGTGACCACATTGGAGGGAGAATTCCTAGTTCTGTGACCCAACTTGAAGGAGACTTCTTAGTTCTGTGACCCCACTGGAGGGAGACTTCTTGTTTCTGTGACCCCCACTGGAGGGAGACTTCCTGTTTCTGTGACATTAATGGAGGGAGACTTTCCCTCACTTCCTGACTCTGTGAACCAACTGGTGGGAGACTCCCTGTTTCTGTGACATCAGTAGAATGAGACATCCTGTTTCTGTGACTCCACTGGAGGCAGACTTCCTAGTTCTGTGACCCCACTGGAGGGAGACTTCCTGTTTCTGTGACATCACTGGAAGTAGTCTTCCCAACAATTCCCTTCCCTGTGACCCCACTGGAGGGAGACATCCTGTTTCTGTGACCGCACTGGAGGGAGAATTTCTAGTTCTGTGACCCCACCGGAGGGAGACTTCCTAGTTCTGTGACCCCACTGGAGGGAGATTCCTGTTTCTGTGACACCATTGGAGGGAGACTTCCTGTTTCTTTGACATTAATGGAGGGAGACTTCCCCTCAATTCCTGTCCCTGTGACTCCACTGGAGGGAGACTTCCTATTTCTGTGACCCCCCCCCCCCCCTACAGGAGGGAGACTTTCCCTCATTTCCTGTCCCTGTGACACCACTAGAGGGACACTTCCTGTTTCTGTGACCCTACTGGAGGGAGACTTCCCTTCACTTCCTGTCCCTGTGAGCCCACTGGAGGGAGACTTCCTGTTTCTGTGACATCTTTGTAGGGAGACATTCTGTTTCTGTGACCGCACTGGAGGGAGACATCCTGGTTCTGTGACTCCTTTGGAGTTAGACTTCCTGTTACTGTGACATTAATGGAGGGAGACTTCCCTCGCTTCTTGATCCTGTACGTGTGACCCAGCTGAAGGGAGACTTCCTTTTTCCGTGACATCATGGGAGGGAGTCTTTCCAAAAATTCCTTTCTCTGTGACCTCACTTGAGGAAGACTTCCTGTTTCTGTGACCACACTGGAGGGAGACTTTGTTTCTGTGGCCCCGCTGGAGGGAGATTTCCTGTTTCTGTGACCCCCCATTGGAGGGAGACTTCCTGTTTCTGTGAAATTAATGGAGGGAGATCTCCCCTCACTTTCTGACTCTGTGACCCCACTGGAGGGAGACTTCCTATTTAGGTGAACCCACTGGAGGAAGACTTCCCCTCACTTCTGTCCCTGTGACCCCGATGGAGGGAGACTTCCTGTTTGTTACATCACTGGAGGGAGTCTTCCAAAAAATTCCTTTCCCTGTGACCCCACTTGAGGAAGACTTCCTGTTTCTTTGACCCCACTGGAGGGAGACATTCTGTTTCTAGGACCAGACTGGAGGAGACCCAGTTCTGTGACCCCCACTGGAGGGAGACTTCCCAGTTCTGTTACCCCACTGGAGGGAGACTTCCCAGTTCTGTTACCCCACTGGAGGGAGACTTCCTAATTCTGTTACCCCACTGGAGGGAGACTTCCCAGTTCTGTTACCCCACTGGAGGGAGACTTCCTAGTTCTGTTACCCCACTGGAGGGAGACATCCTGTTTTTCTGATCCCACTGAAGGGAGACGTCCCCTCAATTCCTGGTCCTGTGACCCAACTGAAGGGAGACTTCCTGTTTCTGTGACATCACTGGAGGGAGTCTTCCCAAATATTAATTTCCCTGTGACCGCTTGAGGAAGACTTCCTGTTTCTGTGACCCCACTGGAGGGAGACATTCTGTTTCTGTGATTACACTGAAAGGAGACTTCCTGTTTCTGTGACATTAATGGGGGGAACTTCCCCTCACTTTCTGACCCTATGGCCTCACTGGAGGAATACTTCCCCTCAATTTCTGTCCCTGTGACCCAGCTGGAGGGAGGCTTCCTTTTTCTGTGACATCAGTGGAAGGAGACATCCTATTTATGTGACTGCACTGGAGGGAGACTTCCTAGTTCTGTGACCCCATTGGAGGGAGACTTGCTGTTTCTGTGACCCCACTGGATGGAGACTTCCTGTTTTTGTGACATTAATGGAGGGAGACTTACCCTCGCTTCCTGTCCCTGTGACCCCAACTGGAAGAAGACTTCCTGTTTCTCTGACCCCACTGGAGGGAGACATCTCCTTAATTCCTATCCCTGTGACCCCACTGGAGGGAGACTTCCTATTTCTGTGACCTCACTGGAGAGAGTTTTCCAACAATTCCTTTCCTTGTGATCTCACTTGAGTAGGACTTCCTGTTTCGGTGACCCCCCCCCCCCCCCCCCTCTGGAGGGAGACATCTTGTTTCTGTGACCACACTGGGGAGAGACTTCCTAGTTCTGTGACCCCACTGGAGGGAGACTTCCTGTTCCTGTGACCCCACTGGAGGAAGACTTCCTGTTTCTCTGAGCCCACTGGAGGGAGACGTCCCCTTAATTCCTGTCCCTGTGACCCCACAGGAGGGAGACTTCCTGTTTCTGTGACATCACTGGAGGGAGTCTTCCCAACAATTCCTTTCCCTGTGACCTCTCTTGAGGAAGACTTCCTGTTTCTGTGATCCCCACTGGAGGGAGACATCCTGTTTCTGTGACCACACTGGGGGGAGACTTCCTAGTTCTGTGACCCCACTGGAGGGAGACTTTTCCTGTTTCTTTGACATTAATGGAGGGAGACTTCCCCTCACTTCCTGTCCCTGTGACCCCACTGGAGGGATACTTCCTGTTTCTGTGACTCCCACTGGAGGGAGACTTTTTTGTTCAGTTTTTAATCCACAGGGATTATGTGTACTGTTACTTCACTTTCACTTGAACATTGAATTTAGTTTTTTATCATATGTTTTTGTCATATCTCCTAATTAGGTACTTCATTTTGTATGATTGGCGCTGCACTTTTACTTTTATGCACATTTAATGAAAGTAGACTACGCAGAATGAAGTAAACATTTTACACATGCATGCTGTACATTTATAAGATTGTCACCTAACTGTCCTGCCCTATGTGCTGAGCAGCGTGGCTGGAGAACGAGGGGGGTGATTTATGTTGAAGTGGGCAAGTACACATGTGAAGGCCTAGTGTACCCGCCCACTTTCAGTGCAATGCCCAGAGGTTGATGGGAACTGTAGTAGAAAGAGAGGAAGGATATGATGTAATCCCTGCTGTTACACCTCCTCCTTGGCGGAGCAGATGCTGTTATCTTTTGAATTAAAAATAAAGACTTCGGAAAATTCAGTTAAACTTGTCACTTCAAGGGTAAGAAATTTCACAACTGTATTACCTGTTTAGTGTTTTGTGTAGGGGGGAGTACTAATGGGTGATTGTTCTTGCCTATCCTGGAGTTCTTCTTTATGATTTGTTTTACCCTCAGGCATGAAGGGGTAGAATTACCTGTCTTCCCAGTGCTGTACCCTCTCTACCAGGTGTAGCATGGAAGTTTTAGTTTGCTTCACCTGCCAGCAGTTCATAGCCAGTTAGGGGAAGCGAGGAATGTATTTCTCCCCTCTTTACACACTGCCATTTAGTGCCAGTTCAGCACAGCTCATACATATAAGTATTGCACTAAAAATGACATTTTTGTTGCAGGGGATGCTGAAAATATGACTTGTATCTTAGTACATGAAGTCAATAGCCCCTGGCTATCAGTACAGACGTCTGGGAAAATCGGTGAGCCGATCACACAAGCAGGAAATCACATTTGGGGGGTTTTGGTTCTGTGTACAAAACACCTCCAGGTAGCCATATCGCATTGCATTTTACAGAAAATTACAGCGCTGCAGACTGAAAAGGAAAGGTCACTTTTAATAACATTTAATTACAATATGATTTATGCTGCAATTGTATACACTGTATTTTTTTTTTTCATTTTGCTACCCTTTAAAGCCTAAGTTTAACCAAAAAAAGAAAATCAGCACAAGGGCCACAACATATAGTCACTAGGATGTGTCCCTTGTGCTGATGTGTCTTCTTTTAGTTGAAATCCTCCACCCTTTCCATGCCCGCCTGTTGTGGGGAGTAAAACAACTAAGGGGTTGTCACAGGCTCTTATCAAGGAAGACCGACTATACCCACCCTTTCTGCCTAGCTCAGGGGTGGGCAAACTTTTTGACTTGAGGGCCGCAATGGGTTCATATATTGGACCCGGGGGCTGGACCAAGAGTAGATGAATGATGTGTATGTGTCCCCCATAGTAAGTATAGTAATATTCCCCCATAGTAAGCATAGTAATTCATCCCCCATAGTAATTCATCCCCCATAGTAATTCATTCCCCATATAGTAATTCATCCCCCATATAGTAATTCATTCCCCATATAGTAATTCATCCCCCCATATAGTAATTCATCCCCCATATAGTAATTCATCCCCCATATAGTAATTCATCCCCCCATATAGTAATTCATCCTCCCATATAGTAATTCATCCTCCCATATAGTAATTCATCCCCCACATAGTAATTCAGCCCCCACATAGTAATTCAGCCCCCACATAGTAATTCATCCCCCACATAGTAATTCAGCCCCCACATAGTAATTCATCCCCCACATAGCAATTCATCCCCCCACATAGCAATTCATCCCCCCACATAGCAATTCATCCCCCATATTAAATCCCCAAGTCCCCCCTGTGTCAATTCACTTACCTTTGCTCCGCGCGTTCCTCTTGTTCCCGCGCCGTTCGGTGTAGCATGAAAATCTGTCTCCTATGAGGATCTGTCCCCCTCGATGTATCTGCGCATGTGCCAGTTTCAGGCATTAGCAGCCGATCGGCGATCTCCGGCACATGCGCAGATACGTCGAGGGGGGACAGATCCTCATAGGAAACAGGGCGGACTGTGAGAGGAGCCTAGCGGGAGCCTAGCTCCGCGGGCCGGATTAAAAGGTCCGCCGGGCCGTATACGGCGCCGCGGGCCGTAGTTTGCCCATTGCTGGCCTAGCTGCTCAGGTATTAGGATTTGTATCTTATATTTGTATTTATGAATGAAACAGGATCTAAAAATAGAGGGGTGGAGCAATCATCAACCCATACTCCATTATTAGATCCTGTTTCATGCATATAGTGCCTTGAAAAAGGATTCATATCCTTTGAAATTTTCCACATTTTGTCATGTTACAGCCAGAAACGTCTTTGTATTTTATTGGGATTTTATGTGATAGACCGGCACAAAATGGCACACAATTGTGAAGTGGAAGGAAAATGAATACTTTTTAAAGCACTGTATAAGTCGTAGTATGGTTACTATGAATGGAGACGCTGTGCAGAAGGGGCAAGCATAGTCAGTCAGGTTTTCTGGATGAAAGCCTGTGACAGCCCTTATTTGTATTAACTCCCCCAACACCAGAGAATTACAGCAGCAAAGGGTGCAGAGGAAGATGTTAACTAACAGAAGAATCGGCACAAGAGACACCTCCTACTGACTGCAAGTTATGTCCCTTGTTCTGGTTTTTCAGGGTTTTTTTTTTTATTTGGGGCTTTAACCCATAAATAACAAGTGTGAAGGGGTCCTCAAACTGAAGTGGTATTTTAAGGAAAATCATTCAACTTTATTGGATTTTCTTTCTGTGGCAGTGAAATTCTTGTAAAAAGTTATTAATAGTCAAATAATAAATCCTGAAAATGTAGAGTCATCATCGCTATCAGTATAAAGACCATTTCTGTCATTATAGACCTCCAGCCATGCCTCGTCTCCTTTCTTCATGGCAAGAATAGAGGCTCCGGAAGCTTGGTGAGTGTTTGAACTATACTCGTGATACATATATTGTATAATCTTACTATTATGTTTCAGTACAAGATGTACATGTTTATTATACACTGTAATGTGGTAGGTTAGGTAATATACACCGTTGACTGGAGAGGTTAATTTCCCAGTTTCTATATTGTAGACATTATACTCATTGTAAAATACTTTCTCAAATTTAATAGGCTTGCCAGCACTTGGATTGGATGCTTTTAGTCCCACATGAAAAGCATAGCTGTTTCTGGTGGAGGATGATCCAGTGTCACCTTTGGGTCCTGGAGCACCAGGGAGGCCTGGCATACCATTCAGTCCTGGGGGACCTATTTTTCCTGGGAGACCATATGGACCTTGTTCTCCTTGTTTACCTGGTAGAACATGAATAGACAAAAAGAATTATCTTTTTTACAGAATGATTCTGTCCAAAGAAACATTTGTGTGGATCTCCAATAAAGGAAAATGGCTCTGGACAACTTTCTTTGTACAATCTAAACAACTATATACTGTTACAAAGATTATTTGTGAGATGGCCTTGGTCAGTGCACTCAAAAGTGATATTTAGGCAGGTGGACAGTGAAAGACAGTGAAATCTCCCTGCCAATACTCTGTTACTGTACAGATCCTACAGCCAACAGTGAAAGAGGCTCTTGACTGTTGGATGGATGGTGTGGGTTCAGTTTCTTCCTGGTACTTATGTTCTCCTTAATTGCTTCAATACTGGATACTTTTATCCCCTTTCTGCCCAGGCCAGTTTTCCGCTTTCAGCACTGCTGCACTTTGAATGACAATTGCATGGTCATGCAACACTGCCCATATGAAATTTTTATCATTTTTTTCACAATAGGCCTTTTTTTCTGTGGTATTTAATCACCGCTGTTTTTTTAAATTTTTTGCTAAATAAACTAAAAATGACCGACATTTTTTATTAAAAAAATCCCCACATTTTTCTTTGTTTCTGTAATAACATTTTTCAAATAATCGTTCTTCATAAATTTAGGCCAAAAAGTATGCTGCTACATTTCTCTGGTGAAAATAACCCAAATCAGTGTATATTATTTAGTCTTTAGGAAAGTTATAGAGTCCACACACTATGGTTAATATATCTGAAAATTAGTCCTGATGTACTGACAACTAATCTCATTTTTGAGGCCCTAAAATGCCAGGACAGTACAAATACCCTCCAAATTAACCCTTTTTGGAAAGTAGACAGTCCGAGGTATTAGGTATGAGGCATGGCGAGATTTTTAAAGTTGTAATTTTTTGTCTCAATTTTTTAGAAAACAATGAAATAAAAAAAAGTTTTCAAATTTTTTTACATTCTGTCAAACATTTTTTTACATTCTGTCACCAGTGTAGTACAGCATCATCATATAATTGCTGTAGTGGGGATGATCAGGGACACTGACTGTTGTGTAAAGAAAAAAATAATAATTTTTACTTAGCTTAAATTTTTTTTTTTTTTTTTTTTTCACTACAATTTTCTTTGGTGGACACGGCGGGTGACAGATCGTGCTGGAGCGTGGCCTTTGGGGTATGTGTGAGATGCGATGTTTTGTTGGGAGGATGTCATTTGACATCCTCCCACAATAATAGGGCTCCCGTCTGGCCATCATATTAGTTAGCCTATGGGGATAGGTCAGGATGTGGAGTATTTGAACATGGAAATAAGGAAAGCTCACTCTCAAAGGCAGCAAGCCCTGGACATGGCTCCTGTTTCCAGACTGCAGCCCTCCACCGATCAGGGCTTTAAGGCAGAGTGGATAGACGGAAGCCTCTTCTCAGTGCAAGGAGAAGCTTCCACATAGCCACTCTGCCATAAAGTCCAGATTGGTGGAGGGCTGCAGTGATGGTTGTCCTTGTGCCATCTCCACACAGGATCTCTGGAGCTCAGTCAGAGTGACAATTGGGTTCTTGGTCACCTCTCTAACCCTAGGTTCATACCTAAGCATTTTCTGCAGCATTTTGCAGAAACGCACTACAGTCCCTTTAACATGATTTCCTATGGGACACGTTCACATCTCCACGTTTTCACCAGGGTGCGTTTTTTGGAAAGGGTCAGGGACTTTTTTGAACGCAAAACATTGCGTTTTTGGTGCTACAGACTTCAATGGAAATGCTGCAGAAAAGCATGTAGTGCGTTTTTGCCACATTTTTGATGCCTTTTGCATCTACCTAGCAACAAGAAAAAAAAAAACAGAAAAATGCCTAAAAAACACACACCGCAAAACGCACTGCAGAAACAGATCAAATGCAAACTGCATAGACATGAACCTAGTCTTACTAAGGCCCTTCTCCCCTAACTGCTCAGCTTGGCTGCCCGACCAGCTGCTGGAAGAGCCTTGGTTGTGCCAGACTTCCTTCATTTGAGAATTTTGGAGGCCACTCTGCTCTTGGGAACCTTCAGTGCATCAGAAATGTTTGTAGCCTTCTCTAGATCTGTGCTTTGCAATAATCCTGCAGGCAGTTTCTTTGACCTCATGGCTTTTGCTCTGATACAGTATGCATTGTCAGCTGTGAGGCCTTATACAGAGAGGTTTGTGCCTTTCCAAATTATGTCCAATCAATACCACTGGTGGACTCTAATCAAAGTGTAGAAACATCTCAGCAACAATCAAGAGAAATGGGAGGCACCTGAGTTAAATTTCAGCTGTTGTTGCAAAAGGTCTGAATACCTATGCTAATATAATATTTCAGTTTTTTATTGTTAATAAATTCACAGATATTTCTAAAATTCTGTTTTCACTTTGTCATTATGGGGTACTGAGTGTAGATTAATGAAAAAAAATATATATTTAAACAACTTTAGTATCAGGCTGCAACATAACAAAACTGAAAAAAAGTAAAGGGGGTCTGAATACTATCTGAATACACTGTAGCTCAGCTTTCATTTTCAAATTCCATACTGATCTTTATAATAACCCTGATATACATATTCAGAACTACCTCACAGATAGTGGTATATCTAAAATTTCCATTTCTGCTCTCCACACACTTCATTCAGCTATTGACAGGAAGAGATTATAACTATTAAAGGATAAGTTAACTTTTTAGAAAAAAATAATAAATGCACATTTTTTTGCAGGTATTATTTTTGTCTACAGGAGCCAGGAAAGCATTGCACCTGTGATCAGTAGATCGCTGATGCCACGCAGGTCTCCTGCAGACCTGTCAGAATATCTGCTTGCCGTACAGGATGTACGAGCAAGCAGTTATGAGGATGAAGTTCATTCATTCACGGACGTCCGTAAATGAATGACGCGTCCTTGTGGGGTAGCTCCGCAGTGTCATGCTGTTTTCAAATTTGACAGTACGGGAAGACTTCCCCGTATTATCTGTCAGAGGCAACAAGGGCTGTGGGAGGCGGCTGCTGCTATGGGAGCATGCTACATGTTCCACCCTAAAAATGGGTGGAACATGTAACATGTTCCCAAAGGTGAACTTATCCTTTAAAATGTTTCCCACTTACAAAGCTCCAGGACCCTATGGCTTTCCTTTAAATATTATAAAACATTTCCCCAAACCTTCTCCCACATATGGTAAAATTGTTTAATGGCTTCCTTCACAAAGCCCCTCTTCCAAGGAACTTGCAATCTTCATGCATTGCAATAATCTTTAAACCAGATAAGGATCATACTATGGGGTTGATTTACTAAATCTGGAAAGTGCAAAGTTTGGTGCAGCTCTGCATGGAAACCAATCAGCTTCCAGGTTTTTCGTCAAAGCTTAATTGAACAAGCTGCATTTAGAAGCTGATTGGCTAGTATGCACACCTGCACCAGATTTTGCACTCTCCAGTTTTACCCTCCGTTCACATCAAGCCCGACTTTGAAATTGTACGACTTACAGTGAAGTCGTACGATTTTAAAGTCGGGGGACCCGCCGATTTCAGGTGCGATTTTCAAGACATCTGATACAGATGTCTATGCAAATAGCACCAATACTACTTTTGAAATTGGTGTGGCTCCGACCAAGTCGGAACCGCACCGATATGACCGCTCCAATTGCGGACAATAGGATGCGATTTGGCATGCAATTTGTAAGTCGCGGCATGCAAATCAGATGCCAAGTCGCATCCAGTGTGGACCAGGGCTTAGTAAATCAAGACGAGAAGCGCACCAACCTTGCGCATTACCTCAGTAACCAAAATGTATTAATTGTAAAAAATATACTCACACACACAGCGAATGAAATCAGGCATGTAAGTCCTCACAGGGACTTGAAGATAGCGTGAGTCCATCAAGGGAATGGGGTGTTCAGTATAGCTGATGCGTTTCGAAGGGGGTCCCTTCTTCATCAGAGCTAACTGAACTGTGAGTGCTCTCATCCTATATATACTCCTGGACTGAACATAGGCCCTCCCCTCTGGGTTGGGCAGTCTCAGGTTAGTAGGAGGGGCCAAGGTATCGTCAACAGACAATAGCTATTTGTAATGCCATCAGAGAGAAATAATATATAAAAAAAACATAAAATATATAATATATAAAACCACATTTTGCATAAAACCACTTAGTATGCATGCAATATATCAACTGAAGAGATAACAGCAATGGAAATGATGAATGATAGATAATACATGATGTAAAATAATAAATTAGTAAATAGTTAATAATATTACATGATTCATTAGTGAACGATGTATCAAATTTTTTAAAATGTTCCAATTTTTGGACAGAATGTGTTTGATGTCCCAGGCTTTGTTGCTAAATCTAGTACAAAAGCGTACTTCGTTCTTGTTGTAAGTGCCAGTAGTGGTCTTAGAGTTTAGGGCCAGTTTCCGTATCAATAGAGTCTGTGGGGATTGCAATCATAAAGGGCTCGATATTTATTAAAAGCTGTTTCAATGTGATGTACATCATACCCCTATTTGTCCTCAAATTTCTTTTTAAGGATCAGACTTTGTTCTATATAGTCTTTTTCCATAGTACATGTGCGTTGTAACCTACAAAACTGTCCAAAGGGAACATTATGGATCCATTGGGGATGGTGGTTGCTCTTGGCATGTAAGTATGAGTTACCCGCTGTAGGTTTGAAATGTGTTTTTGAGCATATCTGGCCATTGATATCATGTCTTAGTTCTAGGTCTAGAAACACCCAGATTGTCATCGTCAATCACATGAGTGAATGAGATATCATACGGATTGTTTCCACAGTGTTTTTCAGGAACCCATCCAGCTGAGAATCTGTACCATTCCAGATGATGATAATATCATCACTACAGTATATACCTTCCGTATAGGATAAGGTTTGAACTGTAGGGATTATTAGTCCAGATATAGTTGTTTTCCCAGTATCCCATAAAGAAT